GCTGTCCCTGAGGACAGAAGATTGAGGAGTCTTCTGCCAGCCCTGGTTTGATCCGATGTTTTGATGATTTTACTTAGGCAGTTATTTACATTGCTGTAACCAGTTTGCTGCAGCCTGGTGTATCTATCTCTGATGTTTAATTGTCCTGTGATGCTCGTGCTTTGGAGTAAAGCCATGTCCATCCACAGTTTTAATTTTCAAGCACAGAGAGAAAAAGGTGTTAAAACCACCTTGCTGCAATCATCTCTTACCTGTTTGTCATCATGGTTTAAATGTGCTTGATGAGCATTGTTCTCTGAGGAATTTCTAACCCACGTAGTGCAGAAGGAATATTTAACTCTGCTCAGACTGTGAAGTAAGGCTTTTGCTGCTGTTAGAAGAGCTCTGCTTACTTGGGTTGCCCCCAGTCTAATAGCTGCAGCCCTTTGGCCTCATTTAGCAGCCTTAGCGAGCTCTCGGGTGCCCGTCGGTCGGTGCTCAGCTGTACCTCTGCCATGGGGTGTGTGCAGGAAATAATTAACACAAATAATATCCAGGGCTTAAAATCCTTCTAAATAGAAAATGTGTTTGCTTTGGTCCCTCACAGCAGGTCAGGCTGTGGTGGAACACTGAGGTGCATCCTTCCACTGTACTGACCCTGGCAGAGGCGACCGCAGGCACCGGTGCTGTGTGGGCAGGACACCTCTGATGAGCAAAACTGGGGTAACTGGTAGAAGAGACAGCTCCTGGGCCCCTGTGCTGTGGAGAGGGTCTGATCTTCACATGGTTCATCTGAAGAGAAGCAGCAGCAGCGGTTGTGGGGCCAGCGCTGTTGTGCCGCTGCATTTCTGCCCCAGCACAGAGATCCCTCTCTCTTTTCCCTGTATGCATTCTCCAAATCATTATCATTTAAATGGCAAGGTAATGTGAAACATTTGGCTTTTTTGGGCTATAAAATGCACGTGGCAGAACTAATCAATTTCAAATGATCATCGTCAAATCATTGCCATGGAAATTAAGAAAGAAGGGTTTTCCCAGTTCCACGAGCTGCTCACATTGTGCCAGAGCAGCGCAGGGTGCAGCGTTCACCCACCCTGTGCCCCAGCAGGGCAGTGCTGGGCTCAGCACATGCTGGGACCTGCGGTCTGCAGCTTCGAGGTGCTTTCCTCATTTGTCTGTTTTTCCCAGGTCAGGAGTTGAATTCTTCCTTTTTCTGGTGAAAACTCATTATTCGTCCTTTGAATATTTGTAAACTCGCCTTGAAACGCCAGTGACCAGAACTGACCTTTCCAATATTTTTCTCCATCTCTTTTTCCACAGCAATTACACTGCTGGTATCTGTGTCTAGACGTGCTGTAAAAACAATGTGCCAGCAGAATTATCCAGCGGGTTTGGATTGCTCTGAATGTGTGTTTGGGAACACGGCTCTGCTTCTACGCGGTTCTGCTGGGAAATGTCATCTGCCTGGTGGGATTTTACTGACACTGGCTCTTTTTCAGTGGGAGAAATAAGTTAATAAATATCTGTTCAAGCAGTCACATGTTTCAGGGGCATGCGACGCTGACGAGATTGGCATAAAGGGTTCAGGATTTTGAACTTCAGATAAGAAAAATGTTCTGTTTGTTCTTTGAGGCTTCTGCAAACTTGTGTCAGAATTTAGGTCCCGATGGCGACAGTAATCCTGGAGTGCAGGAGCTGAACCAGGACAAATTCTCGGTTACAAACAACAAAAATCCTGTCATATTATAAAAGCAGACAGAGAATGGGAGATCTGGGGTGATTCAGGCTGTGTGTGGAAGGACACTTGCTCAGCCTTGCACTGAAACCCCTTGTGAGCAGGACCTGGTGTTGGGTTGTTTGTGAGGTGGCCCGAGCAGTTGGCCCATGGACTAATTTCAGGCTTAATCTTGTTTCACTGTATGAAAAAGGCTCAGTGACAGGCGACAGAAGAGTGGTGTTAGTGCGATGCTTAGTAGGAGGGACATGTCTGGCGAAGAGATGAAACCAGAAGCCCTATCAGCTACATGGACTGGTAATGAGATAGCGGGTTTATCCTCCATGGGAAGGTCCCTTCCCCACGTCACGGGGAAGGTCCAATGAGACAAAATCCCGAAGAGCATGAAATTGTCCGTCTGCCATGGAAATAGTGTTTGCAGTGCATTTTGTCTGCAAAATATTCATGTGCAGGGAGCGCTGGTTACAGAATGTGCCTTTTGTAGGTGAGAAACAGACACCAGGGAGCACGTCCAGAGGAGCTCAGCTGCTGGAGAGGTGATGAACTGGCTGGATTTGTCCCTGAGCAGCCAGCTCCGCTCTTGGATTACATTTTCCTTCTTGTAGACCCAAGGTTGGGGTTAATCTGGGCTTCGGCTGTGGCTAATCCCACTTGGCCAAATCCTGCAGCTCACTGGTGCTGCGGAGCCAGCATGTGCCAGGGCTGGTGGGCTGGTGCCTTGCGCCAGGAAGGGCAGTTTGTCCTGCTGTAAGTGCAGGAGGAGGGAGCAAAGCTCTGCCCTGAGCTCTGGTTTACAGCAGCGTGGCCGGGCTGAGCGCTGCCGTGCACGCTGGGCGGTCACAGGGCGATCGGCGTTAGAGCCGCGGTGCTGCCGGTCCTGCTGTATGGGGCAGGTAACTGCAGAGCTTGTGCTATAGGTGGTGCTGAGCCTGGGTGACCCTGACAAACTGGGGACCAAACAGACACCTAAATGTGTTACTTACTGATTGTTTCTTTAATGGCTACTAGTCTGGGTCAGACTTGGATCTCAGCATTAAGTTGTGCCAAGAGGATTTCCGGAGGTAACTGAGAGCAAAACCTCCTTCTCCATTCCACAGAAACGGGTGTGTGGTCCCAGCGCTGCCCAGGCTGCAGTTGTCCTCTCTCTCATCTGTGCATGGCCAGGGGGTGCAGGACCTGCACCAGGCGATGCTGGGGTGCTGCAGCAGCTTCCCGGGGCAGCGGTGGTATTGCTGCTTTGCTTGTCTGTGCTGGGCTTTCCCTCCATGGGCCAGCTCTGTTGTATTCACACCCTTCAGCGCTGTTGGCCTCCAGCGTGTCTCAGGAGAAGCATCCCCAGCAGTGCTTTTGCCTTGGTGTGTGTTGGGTCGCACTCACTGCAGGGCTGTGCTGGGCTGACCGGTCACCGTCTGAGCCCGGTAACGGGCAGCTCAGACCTGGCACATGCTGGACTGTGCCTGTGAGAGGTGACCACACAGCCCAGGAGCTGAGGCCTCGTCCTTTTCCCTGTGTATTGACTTGTGTTTTGGGCAGAGGACGAGATTTTCCTGAGAAACACCAAACCTCTTCATGCCTTCACACCATGCCCATCACAGCACTGGGAACGAGGAGAAGCTCTGCCATGTGAAGCTTTCCCCACCCTCGGGAGCGGGGAGTGTTTGGTGACAGTCAACATGACAGGCAACGAAAGGGGAAACCTGATGGGAGCAGGGGGCAAAGTAGAGAAGCAGCAGCACTTACTGACGTGGCGTTAACGGCACCGTGGTCCTCCGCTCAGCGGCAGCAGGACGTGTGGCACCGGTGGTGGGAAGGAACCAGGGCACCCTGGATCCTCCACCCTGCAACCACCCAGGAGATGAATTTTACAGCTCAAGGCAGGATTAGTGCCTCATTAACTGAGGAAAGGGGAAGCCTTGGCCAGACAAGGAGAGAGGAATGGAGTGTCATGTGCGCTTTGGATGAGTGGGACCAGCTCTTTTGCAGGGGGTGCCTGCTAAAAGACAGAAAGAAAAATGAAGACGTATTTTGTTTTAAATGAGAAATGACTGGCATTCCCCCGCTCCCCGAAAACAAGAAGTAATTTAATTTATTAGTGGTTTATTTTATTTGACAGCCTTTCTATGTACTTGATGCGGTTTGTTACACTGAATTACCCTTTAATAATGGGTGTATATAATACCAAAGCCTGCCCTGGAGGCTGGCTCTGTAATTGAAGGAGGGATGCACTGCAGAGCTCTGTGCTGTTGAGGATTGCCATGGCAATGCCAGTGGGAGCTGCGTGGTTGGGGCAGGGAATCGTGCTGGAAGGTGCCGGTGCCCACGCTGCTGTGGCTCAGCCCCGGCTGCCCGTGGTGCGGTGCGGTGCAGTAAGTGCAGTGAGGTGAGGTGCAGTGAGGTGCTGGGCTCCTGCCTTCACTGCGCTTGGTTTTGTGCCGGCATGGCCCAGTGTAACCGTGCGCTCTTTCCATCGGCACACGCGCTG